AATAATTTAAAATATTTGTTTTTTCTTTTTATTTAAAATTTGCTTCTCAATGTGATTAGGTTAGGTTATACCGGCGAAACCTATTGGATCCACTTAGGCCTATTAGCCCATTGTGTTACCGTATATATAAAAGCTCAGGGTCTCAATGTGTTTAAACACTATAGTTCTCTTCATCAAAATCAGTAGACAAATGCTCCATTTTAATAGAAAATGCGGCTTACTTCTACACAGTTCTTTGCAACTTTTTTGCGAAAAAGTGTTAGTTTTTACAGCAGAAGCATATTACTACATTCCAATTTGGAACGAATTCGGATAAGCACACCTATCGTTGTAGACCTTAGAAACATTTCTAGCGATAGTATATAAGTAGTATTATCTAATATATGAAAAAAACCTATTATTTTTTACTTTCATTTAAAATAATTGTATATTACATTTTACATGTGTAGTTATTATGAATTTCTATTATAGAGCAAAGTAGACAAAACTTAGCAATGCGCCTGAAGTTGTGCTTTGGCTTCCAGATAACGAAAAATAATAGTACTGGTTAATACCATAAACTGGAAATATCAGAACTATGAAATATTTCTGTTTTTTCTTTTCATTTCATGTTTTTTTGAAGTTTTCAAATCTTTAACTAAATATAAAAATTTAAAGCCTTAGCTTATGAGTTATTTGTAATCTTTTTAAGGATAGAGAGGCAACTATTACAATAAAATACTTAATTATCAAAATATATTTTAAATATTAAAATATGAACTTAGCAGATCAATAGTGGTTTTTTTTCAGACACGAAGTTCTAAATGTTGAAAGCAACTTTCTGGTATATGGGTCGGGATGTACACTAAGCTTCGCATAATATTTGCTTATGTATGTTCGGGGTGTTTATATCCTTATAGATATAAGAGTTCTTTACATACCACAGGACTCCTATGAAATATGAAGTTGTTTAAAAATCTGTAGATCTATTAATTATTTTTATACAATTTCCTTCTGAAATTAACTCATAGAAACAATTCCAAGTAGAGAGAACGTAACACTACAAGCATAACATAATTTTAATTCCGCCTCTAGGAAGCGTTATTGTTTTAAATAGTGGTACTTAGTAATGCCTAAATAATGGTACAACTTAATTGCTAATTACAATTATTACTTAAACTTCATTATTAATTTATATTCTACACGATACACGATGATACTCACGACGAGTATTTCAAGTTTGACATACATATGTCTCTTATTAATAAAATACTCTAAATTACTTCATATTTTATGTTAAAATATTTGCGTTAAAAAAATAAATTTGTCATTTCCGTTGATTAAGCAACACCTATTTACCGCTGTTGACCAATATTCAACCAATGGATTTAAATTTTTTAAATACTGGAAATTAAAAATTGCATCATAAACGAAACAAAAAAACGTTGTGACGTAATTATGATATTGTATCTTCCGACTATAATAATAAATAAAAAAATGTTTCAAAGTATTAACCACAATGATTCATAGTGTTGTGTTTTTATTTGATTTATGATGCATCAAATCTTGATCATCTCCAAAACACAACTATTAAAATTGAGAGCAATTATTTATATAATTATATAATGTATAATTTTTTTTTTATATAATTTATTAAATAATTTCCCTGATATAAACTATAAAGATACTGTTATTTACGATATTAAGAGGAAAGTCAGTAAAGTTGGCTGACTGTGGCTACGAATAGTTCTGAAAAATAAGTACAGATTCCAGATACCAGTCTCTAAGAGAGTTAATAGCTGCACATATTACTGAAGATGAGCCACATTATTAAATTACATAAAAAAAATCATTTACGATATAGATATACTTATTAATAAATATCATTTATTAAATACTGCATTTGAAATAATTATTAATTAAATATTTTTTTAATTTGGCACATTCAATAAAACCTTCAAATAAATTAAAACTTACGTACTACAAAATGATAAATACAAAAATTATGCGAAACAACCCGCTGAGGTTGAGGGACAACGTCATACTTCGCTGACTAAATGACTAAATGATGGGCTAAATGAGACTAAATGATTTCACGTGAATTTCTGTATTTTTTACAGTGTTTTTCTATAATCTCGGTTTTTTTTTACCAACATACAGTTAAAATGTTTATGTATCATATAAGCAGACCTGATCTTTCATCAGGATCGAAGTACAGTCCTTTAAAGATGGTACTTCTAAAAGTTTAAGTCGAGTTTTTGAAATACCCGGAAATATACAGAAGAATTGTAACTGAATTTCTTTAACATCCGGTTCCTTGAGTTTTCTGCATTTCTTACTGCTGATAATATTAAGAATGTAATGATATTGCAATGATAACCAGCGAGCGTTCTATAATTTTTCTATCAAAAAATAAGACAGAATTGCATAGCATGTTTGCTTTTGAGTATACACATAGCCAATAAAGTCTTTGGCTTTTGTACAACGTTCCAAGACAGCTTAAAACGCCTCCACAATCACCTGATCTCAATCCCATTGAGCATCTTTGGGATTTATTGGAAAAAAGAATTCGTCAACATTACAATGCAAGCAGAATGGGTGAAAATTACTGCTGAAGAAACTCAGAAGCTGGTTAATTCGATTCCAAACAGATTTAGTGAAGTTCTAAAAAAGCGTGGCTACCCAACAAAGTATTAAATTTAGCCTTATTTTTAATATTTCTACCGATTTTATCAGCTGTACGCAAACTTTATTGGACCTATATTTACATGTAGGAACACTTTTATTCCATTATCTCAAGAATGAACAAACGAATACAATTTTTGTCTGTTGCTATTTAAACTTAAGATTTTAAAGAATAAATATATGTAAAAATTTTAATTTGAAATATTTATTTATGTTGTGTTTCTTTATTACATATCAAAATTCGTAAGGAGTACGCAGACTTTATTGGCTATGTGTATGTGTTGACATATGGTCTTTCCGACTTTCTAAGTATATTAGTTACGCCAACTCTGATCCTGCTTTTTTCTATACATATTTTCTTTTTGTCAATGTATTGACAACAAACCCCGCCGTGATTTGAGTCGTGCCGGTCTTTGTAAAGCAAGTTGACTGGTATCGATATTTTTGTCACATAACATTGTTATCTTTCTTGATGCTTTTGACCGAAATATCTATTGGTTGATACATTTTCACTGATACTACATTTCACTATCTATCTATATTTAAAATATAATATTTGCATATACAGCAGTGTATATTTAGACTTATTGTTGCGAAATTAGTATATACATTAAATAACGAACTTCAATAGAATTGTTAACAGATAAGTCTGCATGTTTCAGCTTTCTATGTATCAATTGGCAAAGTAGAGATAAAGCTTATCGAGTACGTAAATCGTATCTAGACTAATAACAAGATGGGAGAGGCTTCACCAATTTTCTTGGTTTTACCTGCTTATAAATTCACACATCAGTCGACTGTGTGTAAGAAAACAAAAGAGATTTTAGCTAATCTAGTTTTATCAAAGATTTTATAAATATTAAATACTTATATTTGTGACCAAAACTTATTATTATAATAATTTGTTACCGGGCTAATTGGTCAAATTTTAATATAAATAAAAAGACACTAATTTATTATTTATATTTAAAAATCGTTTATACTTTATTTCCGATATTTCGACTATCTTCGATAGTCATCTTCAGGGAAAACTACACAAAATATAGGATGTTCACATTTTTATAGCGGATTATAAACAAAAATCATACAATAAATACAATAATAATGATGACAACAAGAAAAAAAACAACAATAAAAATACAAAAGAAAAATTAAAACTATAAAAAAAAAAAACAAAAAAGCTTTACAACAAAGCTTATATACCTATATATATTATGTAACAAAATATATATAGGTACGACTAAAAATAAGCTTAGGACAAGGATGGCTGGACATAAACACAGTTTTAAAAAATAAAAGTGGTGCTGAAGCCAATACACCATTGGCTGTGCATTGTATGGAGCATAAACATGAACCTGATTTTGATAAGGCAAAAATTTTATATGAAGAAAGGAACCATAATAAGAGGTACTTTCTAGAAATGCTCTCAATACTTCAAGTGCCCAATAATATAAGACTTAATTATAAAACTGATACGGACAACTGTGCTCAGGCTTATAGGAATATTATAAACAAATGACACAGGATGTTTGTAAAGCTTTTTTGTTTTTTTTATAATTTTAATTTTTCTTTTGTATTTTTATTGTAGTATTTTTTTTTTTTTTCTTGTCATCATTATTATTGTATTTATTGTATGATTTTTCTTTATAATCCGCTATAAAAATGTGAACATCCTATATTTTGTGTAGTTTTCCCTGAAGATGACTATCGAAGATAGTCGAAATATCGGAAATAAAGTATAAACGATTTTTAAATTTAAATAATAAATTAGTGTCTTTTTATTTATATTAAAATTTGACCAATTAGCCCGGTAACAAATTATTATAATCAAAGATTTTAGAAATATTATCTAATACTGTAATATTATAAATTATAATATAATAATAAATAAATTATTGATATCGCCAAAGATCTTGGTATGCTAGTCAATGTATGCTAAATATATGCATAATATAAATATGTTACTAATTGGAGAGTGTAGATCAATAAGATAGGATAGGATTTCTACAGAGTCGGTTCCCAAATCTTTGAATCAAATTAAAGAAGTGTGTTAATTTATACAATTCTTGTAAAAACACTGTGATATTTGATAATTCTGGTTTAAAAAAAAACAAAACATAAAAGAACTGCTTAGTAATACATACATGTAAAAGGTAATAAATGGTGGGAACTTCCAGTGGTTTGAATAATAAAAACATAGTCAAATATTTCTTGATCATATTTTACGCTAAGTTCACATATCTAAATTTAAAACATTTATTCGGAAACAATTAACGTTTTAATTAAGTCTTTTTGTAATTTTTTTATTTATTTCTCGTTATTTTAATTTATTATAGAAAAACTCATAATGCAGTATTCTAGTTCAAAAGAATATTCGTCTTCGATTAAAGAAAGCCCAAAGTGGGCTGGCAAGGTATTTATTTAAATTTTTTTTTTTTATGTTACTTTGAATCAGTTATTTAGCAGGATGATAAGGGATATGTTTACAAGAAATCATCTTACCAGTACTCTTCATCTGGAAATAATGGTACTTCATATACAAAAAATCCTGTTCAGAATGTTGATCAATTAGATGCACTATTGGAAGATTTAAAAAATGAACGAAAAATAACTAAAGAAAAAGGTAAGTAAAAAATTTTTTTGAATTATCTTTCTCTAATTTACAATGTGTCACACCAAAATTTTTAGTTAAACAAATAATATGAAGGTTTCTTGATTTAAAAATTTTTTATATTATCTATTTTAATACACAAATATGTAAAGTTTATGGTTCCTTTTGGATTAGTTGTATAATTATTTTATGTTTTTATTTTATAAACATATAAGACGTAAGACTTTTTATTTCATGTTAAATGTAAAAATGAAAATTTTTATTTTTCCTAATGCAACTGTAGTCTATAGTCATCTTCAGAAAAACCTAAAAAACACACTAAGGTCTTTTTTATAATATAACCGTTTTTTTATACAAATGTAATGGGTATAAAATAATTTGAAAAAGTATCAAATTAAATATTTAAACAAATACGTATTATTATTATTAAAAAAAAAGGGGTCGTACACTCGACCTACAATATCTTTTATACCCCTTAGTCGCATTCGAGTGTTTTTCCAAGTCTGATTTCTTTAATGAAAGACAGTATAAAGCTTATCTTTCCCATCTTTCTTGCATTTTTATGATCCATGAAATACCCTCCTAGGTGTTTCTTCCGGTTGTGCATCAGTGCCGGCCACTCTTCAAGCACATGGTAAGCAGTTTCTCTCTCTTCTCTACAGTATCTGCAGTCTGAGTTGGATTGAATTCCTAACTTCAATAGGTGATTATTCATTCAATCTGCAGTGACCGGTCGGTAATCCCGTAATAATTCTAAGGTTATTTTTTGAGTTCCTAAAAGCATTTTAGATTGTGAAAGTCTTAGTAGCCTTTCCCAATAGAGTGCTCAACGAATGCGCAATACTAAAACAAATTATTTGCATCTTCCTTAAGTGTAATATTTCTTTAAATTTGTCAAAATCAGATTTGTACTATATATACTTAAGCCTAATGTTGGTGGGATTTTTCAGATAAAGCACATCTCCAACAAATCTTAAATTAATAAAATGAAAAAACCAAACAGTTTCTAGCACAATTTTTATGATTTTGCACCGTATTTGATATCAGATTAGGTACCTGACTGTGACAAACTGTACATCTATCAACACCAATTTATGGGATAAATGTACGACCACACCTTAATGAGCCTTGCGGGTTCCAATCAAGCGCCATTTTCGTTATATCTATTTAAATCCGTCTGAAGGTTTGGCCTATTGAATTCCAATTTTTTTCTCATAACTTGCACCGCTGAATATATAACGTAAACACATTTGTTTACAAACATTTGCATTTTGTTCGTAGTTTAGCGTGTCACAAACCATGTTTCTGAGTCATGAAATTATTTTTCGAAAGATTCACATTGAAGTCCGTTTGCGCATTCACTATAAGTCTTTATTGGTGCAACGTGCGGTTTTTTAATAAATAGTATAGATAAATAGATAGTCCGCACAAGTTTCTGACGCCTAGATTTACGTTTAGCATCTCATTATTTTTGTTTTTAAATGGAGTCAGCCTTATTAAATAGATTTTGATAGTTTTAGGAGTATTTCGTTTTCACAGTGTTAAAGGCTCTTTATACACAATTATGGTTTAACACCATAATGCCATAATTTTATTGTTAAGGACGTTTAGGATTTTATGTGCCACTCTATATACTTGTTGAATTGTTGTGTGTCTTTATCAGAACTCAAATTCGTAGTCAGGAATTATTTGTTTAGTGTTCAACATGGGTTATATTTTGTCATATAATAGTCATCCAATCATTTTTGATAGCGTCGATAGAAGACTAATTGGTGTATACGATAAGGCCTTTGTTGTATCTCTTCCTGGTTTAGGTATCGCTGTAATTACTACGGTTTTAACACAGTTGGAAGATAAAGTAGTTGAATAATGCAATTAAATATATTTTAGATATTTATTATTTTTGGAGGTAGCTCGGTTGAAATTATTTAAAAACAGTCGTTTAACTTCAGGAGACTTTGTTGTGTCAGATGACCAGAATGTTGAATTTGTACATTGCTTTTAGCAAGTGTCTATTTTTAATACTTATCAGTCTCGATCCACTATTATTCGAATATATTGGTCTATGGTTTTTGTGTGTTTTGGGCGGCAATATAGTGCTACTATTCTAAGAAATCCACTTATGTCTTCAAGTTGTATATTCATCGATTATAGGTATATAGGCATGGTGATAGCTTTCAAGTTCAAAGTGTATTTTGATTTTATTACATTTGAGTAATTCGTCTATATATAGTATATTTGGAAATACTTATATAATGTTTTTCTGGGCACTGAGTTTCAGATATTATACTCAGTTGAGAGCATAAAGAAAGCTCTAACAGACCATTGTTTAGTCGATTTGTATTCTAGGAAATTACTATTACCTTAATGACCATTTTATTTATCTATTTTAGTTACAATATTAATAATGTTGTTGTATTAGGGATTTAGGATGTATTTAGTATTTAGTATTTAGAACATCATTTCCTAAATTTCGCTCGTTTCATTGAATTGTGGTTTGTAATTTAGTTTTTGAGTGGGCAAGTTGTCTTATATTTTTGTAATTGGTATAATAATCGTCAAAAATTTTCACAATGGATGAAGTTGAATGTATTCATTTAATTTGATATAAATTATCTCAGTAACATATTCTAAGATAGAAAAACTTTCCATATGATAATGTAATTTCATTAAATGTGGACTACAAATGTTATTTTGTAGATCGTTCACATAGATTAGAAAGTCTAGCAAAACATAGAATACTGTAAAAATATTTATACATAGTTTTCTTAAATATGTTATTTATTCTTCTCAAGGTCTCTCAAATATATAAAGTTACATAGTAATATGTGACATTTTTTATTTTTAAGTCCATAATAAAAATATAAAACTAATGTATTATTTTTACTTCTAGATATGTATCCTCCAACATTAAGTTATCGAACTCTGTAAGTATTAAACACTCAATACGAAATATTTTCAAGACATACAATAATATTATTAAACTAAGAATTGTCGAAACTCAATATTACATATTTGAATAAAAACCATCATTTATTGCTAAGCATTTATAAAATTAATTGTGGTAGGGAAATACGCGTCCCACGTTTAGACTATCGCATAACTTTGAATTAAGAATATCAACTCTATTTAGCTCAAGAAATTTCAAACAAATTGTATATATAAAAAGTTATAGAAATCAATTGAATTTTATTTAAAAAAAATAGGTCGTTGACTGGAACTAGAATTCAGGTTCGCAAAATTGAAAAATTATTTATTATTTAAAACTTGAATAATAGGTCTGTTCCATGAGATACTCGTAGTGAAACTCAAGTAAAACACAAGTAAAGTACAAACTAAGAGCGTAACCCAAATAAAGTGCCAAATTTCGCTCTTTACACAGATTTTAATGGAACAGCTTTGTGTAAAATCTGATGAGAACACCAGTGCCGCGCAAATATACAATATAAAAATTTAAATTCAAACCAAAACAGCCGATTCACACATCAACACAAATTTTACTTGAAATAAAATGTACGAGTAAAAACTGTGTAGCATTTTCAAATTTCGACAGGGATGTTACGCTCTCTCGGATGCTCTTATTTACTCTAAAATTTGTTGGTGGAACGCACTTGTTTATACACAGTGTTACTACGAGTAGCTCGTGAAATAGACCTAATATATAGCTTTAAATCAAAAACACATCCATTTCGATTTTTTGGTTTTCATATAGTATCTTTAAAAAGTTCATTCATTGCATGTTCCACAAATTTAGAATTTTGTATTAAACACTCATCTGATAAGGATTTGAGTAGGGATTTATATTTTTAATATCGACGAGCATGCTGTAATGTAACTTAATGTACCATGGTACATTAGGACGCATGACATCCTCAGGGACCTCAAGATTAATCCGATCAAAAAATATGTAAAGGAAAGAGCTCTGAAATTATTTACGAAAACTGACAGGCTCACTTACACCGTGTTACCGAATCTCCGTGTAACCGTGTTATTGCTTTGTCTAATGAAGTGATAAATAATAATCCAGTCAAGGTGTAGTGAGGGATTATGAAGAAACCTCGCAGTTAATAGAGAGTAAAAGTGCTCAAGTGCACTGACTCAACTAGCCTCAACGTAAGAATGTTTAGTTTGATTTTTTTATATACCATAGTTTGAAATTTTAAGTGCAATTCGAAGTACAATTCAAAATAAAATGTATAATAACTCAAACTAAATTAAATTTGTGGAGGATCATTAAGATATTTACATAATTACTTTTGTATGACATATTATTGTTTGAATAACTGAATATAAGAATATTTTTTTATATATTTCTTCACATATTTGTCTTAAAATATATATGGTTAATATAATGTAATATAATATAATTTTATTGAAATAGTGAGTCCTCAAAAAACGAACCGTCAGGTACAATAACAAAAACTACAAAATTTGTCAAAACCATTGAAAGGGATGGATATCCAGATAAATATTCTAACACTGTATTTAACAATGTAACTGCCGAAAAATCTCAGAAAGAAAAAGAATCTCTGATAAATGAAAATTTGTATCATGAAGGTAAGGGAAATTGAAATTTATTAAAAAAAATTATTTTGGCAATATTTCTTTACAAAAAAGTTTTTAAATACAAATAACTAGATTTTCGTTTTTTTCAAAATAGGTACTACAGTTTCCGATAAACTATATGAAAGGAATCTCACAACATCCTCCGCCGAAATAGTTCCTCAACTACATGATGTTGACTTGTCAAATGATATTTTACCTATACCGGGCACTAAAGTCACAACAACAGTGCGCACATATACCTATGAAATACCAGCTGGATCGAAAAATATTCCTAATCGGTCAATATTGTACAATAATGTCAATTACAATACTCTGGACAGTAGAAATTCGAATTCAACAATCCAACAAACTGATATAAATGTACCACAAACTGTGGTTTATAATACTGAAAGTTATTCTACCATAAACAAAAACGAAACTCCAATACTTTCAAATCAGTCTTATGAAATAAGAGAAAGTCGCGAAACAAATAACTTGCGACAAAACTATCCTTCGTATTCATTTGCTCAACAAAGAACTCCAGAAAGCAATAGTAATACTATAATACGTACTGTAAATGAAAATGTTACAGTATCAGATCAAAATCGTAACCAGAATCCACATTTAAATAGCTTACCATATAAGGGAAAAGGCCCTTTGACGCCTACAACAAACCGATATTATTATAAAGAATCTTCAAATGTCACGAATTATGTAGATAAAAGCCCTTCTAATAATATTGCACCAAAAATGCCAGTTCTAAAGCAAAACTCTACTGACTACTCCCCCCCATTTGATAACAATAATACTTCAACAACAACTTACAATTACTATTCATCGAATACAACTAATCATCGTGGACCTGACTATCCAAATACGACAACTCAATTAGCTCAATTTCCTGTAGATGGTGTTGAATTTCCAGAGTCAAAACCACATCTTCCACAAAGAGTTGATGATTTAATGCAGTCTTTTCCAAATGTGAGAAAATTAGAAATCTTACTAAACTTTTTCTTTTTATACACTTCATTTCCGTTAATGTAGACCGATGTAGTCGATAAATCTGATATATCTTATCGTAAAAGAGAAGTCGAAACTTCTGTTGCCAAACCAAATAATGAAATGATACCAACTGTAAATAAAGCCGGTATGGACGTTTATTATCCACCAGGTCACGAAATGACATTAAAACGTGAGGAGTACGCATCTGGATCAGCAGCAGGAGTAAGTTCATATATATATATATATCTTATTAGTGAGCTCTATCTTATATTTTATACACTTATATTTTATACATATGTATATTATTTATCATATTTACAGGGACGTTGGGCCAAAGGTTCTGGAATGTATGAATACGAGTCCGGATACAAATCTAAGACTAAAACCAAATCTGGGGGTGCGATGGTTCCAGTCTGCTTGCCACTTTGTTGTGCCATGCCATGTTCGATTATGTGAAAATGAATTGCTCTCGTTATTAGTCCACTAACAAACTAAAAATAATTTAACCTAAATAAAATCTCCTAACAATGATTTGTATTGTATCCATTAACAAATTAATATTAATTGAAAAGCGTTCGATTATAATTGTTGTTTGCTTATTTTAATCTTCCAAAAAATTTTGTAAATTGATATTATTTTAATTGTATAACGCAGAAACCTTAATAAATCGTAATATCAAAAATAGTAACAGAATCAATATTTTATTTTATTTACTTTGCTTTTATTGTTTTTATGTTTTAACGCTATTGTCATAAGATAATAAATTTCTAATGATATTTGTGGCGAAGTGATTTAATAAAAACTGCACATATTACTGGCAAATTCATATAACGAATTATGCTTTTTTTGACTGTAATATATGTATATAAATATAAATATCTTTAGAATTTTATTAGAAAAAAAAGAATATTTGTTGTTTTTAATACAATTATTATTGTATTAATAATAATTGTCATTTTTATCGTATTTAGTATAGAAATGTTGTTATTGTAGTTCGAATAGTTTCTCTGCTCCTGACGGGAGCTGTGAACAGTACGTAGTCATCAGCGGCGAGTGGCATCGAAATATAGACTCGCTCCTTGTAATCTTTAGCCAGAAAATTACTAGTGACGATTTCCAACCCATTTGTCTTCGAAATTCGCGTTGTTCAATTAATTTTTGAATTGCTTTAATGATCAATTTATTATACGCAAATTATCGGTATATGAATTTAAAAAAAATTTTATTTATATAATTTAAGTATTTATAAATAAAATTAATTTTCTATATTAGCTAGTTACATCTGAAACCTTGATTTCAGCCAAATACCATGTAAACATTGGAAAATATTTTATACTATATAAGTCATATTTAATTGAATTAATGCCATCCATTTCAAATCTATTTATCCCATTTACTAAGTTTTCATACCTAGAAATGTTTCTTGTTAAAGTTTAGAAATAATTAAGACTTAAAACAAATATTACCTTTTAGGATTTGCCTTTTCCTTTCGATGTTTAAGCATAATATAACGTGCTATATTTATGGGATATCTGGATATAAATAAATTCGCATGCTTTAATCTATACATATAAAAAAAAAATTAAAATATTACTTTTATCAAACTTACTCCAATTAGTAATTGTATTATTAAATGATTTTAAAATGATATAGAATTAATATCCAAACTTTTATCATTATAGAGAGACATAAGTGAAGTTTTTAAATGTTTAGAATTTGTCAAAAATTAAATATGCTACAATACCTGTTCGACATGTCATCATCTTCACCTCCCCAACCAAAATATGAATTGGAAAATCCATTAACTTTTCGAAAGTGTTCCGTTGTCATTGCAGAAACTCCACCAAAAATTGCTCGATATGGCAACCTAATTATAACTGTATATCAATATTTATTATTACCTAAATTTAGCTTTCTTACCTGTAATTAAGTGTGTCAATTGCTACTGACATATGCCTTGGCTGTCGAGGACAACTGTAAATGTTTCTTTCATCTAATGGCAACAAATCTACATCGTGGAAAATGAAACAATCCCAGGGATATATCTTCAACGCCTCTAAAAATCCGATATTCATCATGGCGGCACGATTGAATGGTTTTCCATTTGTCTGCTCAACGATGAAAATTCTGTATGCAATATTTTGCCTCATAAGAAAAGGATGAATGTTACGTATAAATATGGACAAGTGAGCATAACGATCGCGAAAAGGTACTACAATAGCAACGTGATGTTTAGGTGTGCAATTTTTTGGCTGGAAGAAACCACCAGGTTCCAAAAGAGGTCCCAATTCTTCTTCAACAACATCCAACGACTCCAAAGTTACGTTAGGCACAAATAGTTTTTCTGTAATATTACCGAAAGAATGAATACTAATATTTATGCGGTATAAGACAAATCTCACCTTCATTACTTGAACTTATACATTCCGGAAATGTAATTTGGCTTGTGGTAAATAAATTTGTTGACGAATACACATTATGGCTGCTATTTAATATTGACTCCACAGTGTTTGACACCAAACGGCCATTAGGCTCGCTTGTAGATGAAATCAAAACAATAGATGCGTCCAAGGAATGTTTTGGAGCTATTTTATATAAGACTCCGTTATCTCCATTTGTGTTTGTATAGTTATGAATTTTTCTAAAACTAAATAAAAACGTTATATATTTATACATATAGAAGACAACTTACCTTAATTTGCTAAAACTTGACTCATTTTCATTTTTATAACCAAAATAATTAACAATTATATTAAACAGAAATAGTAAGCAGACAACAAATAGCAGTGCTCTTACACCATTATTCGTTGTGAATAAGGACATAACGGCATCCACATTTAAAATATTTATATCATTCCCATATAATGAATTTAATTTCATCAGAATATTTCTTTAAACTTTCCAGCTTTGAACAAATTTAAGATTATAATCAATAAGAGTTAGTTTTGATCAAAGAATATCTTACAAGAACGGAAACTCTATTGTGAACTAAAAAGAGTATTTGAACAACAACAATTTGCTGGTGAACACTTGAGGGTTCAGTGAAAATTGCACAAACACCAGCTCAAAGCACAAAATTTCTTTCTCAACTTCACCAATGTCCAGTACTTCACGTAATTTGAGAAAAAAAAATAAATTAAAAGTTTAGAGAAGTTTACTTGATAAATTTTTAATTCAATTTCAATGTCATTTAAATGTTGACATATTGTATTTATTACGATAACTCAAATATTTTCAATTGTCATATTCATTTAGTTTTAACCCAATAATTTAACATGTATATTTGTATAAACCTTTAAATTGTAACATACTTTATAGTTATATATTTGTTCAAAACTTGACACAAGATTTACACGTGCACAAAAAAATATTGTTTTTTTATGATTTTCTGATGGTAATATGATTTATTAAATTTATATGTTCATACTATATATAGTTATTCAAATTGTGAAAAACCATTAAATATGCACACACACACATACAAGCAATTCACAAGCACATATTTTTTTATAAATTTTTTTTTTATTTTATTAATATATAGCGAATATATATACATATATGCACTAATATATGCATATAATATACGCATAATTTAAGAAAATACTGTTTAAAACTTAAATAATTTTTTCTTTCTTATTTTTTCTTTTTCAATACAAGGCAATGTATTTTTAGTAGTTGTACAAATGTATCTAGTAACACAAAGTATAAACAATTAATTTTATTATAGAGCACTTAAAAAAGTTATCAATCAATTAATAAATAAGTAGAGCTGCAGCATGAATTATATGGTCGTTACTAATGTCTAACCAAATCACATGGCTGTGTGCGTCTCATAATTCTTTTCGAGTTTGGTTTAGTTAATTTAGTATTAGTACGTACATATGTATGTATAGATCTTTGTGTGTACCTGTAATACTCGATATACCTAGATTTGTAGATTCGAATTTCTAACATATCAAAGAGCGTTTGTAATATACCTTAGGACTGTGTTTTAAAATCGCTGAATTATGTTGACAGTGCTGTGTGTGGTACAATCCAATAGTTATACTCGTATGCCATAAGACCATAGTAGTTTAAGAATTTGATTGCATAGAAATATTTTAATACAAATAACATCTGCGGTTTCCATATTCATTAAACAACTTAACTTCTTCAAATTTAATTAAAGTTCAACCCTTTTTAAACTTGCTCCCTGAACTGTAATTTTGAATTAGAGTGAATTAATATATGGTATACAAATATTTTGTTATTTAATTTAATACGCCAGTTATTTGCTAATACTAATACTAATCACACGAAACTTTTGATTGTGACTTTAGCTGTAATTTCAAATTACTTTTGGTTTCGATCGTAAAGTTCAAATCAAGATGATTTGTATAAAAATTTCGACAGCTGAAAATAGAATTGAATCGTAAGTTTTACAAAATCAAGTTGATTTTAGCTTGAAAAGTTCAGCGTAGTACAGTACAAACTTGCGCTATTGTGAATAATTTCAGGGAATGGATAAAATTTTCATACAAAATGAAGCAAAACTGTTATTTATCGTAAGCACAAATCATATGTGCAAAGTATTTATCATATGTATATATCATATGTGCACATTAAATATTTTGTTAAAGTAAATCGAAAGTGTGAACATATGATAAATCCGACAATCAAACTACAATCATACGTCATGTGAATCGATATTATTGTTTCTTGATTTCAAATGTCAGTTTAAAATTTTTGACAGCTAAAATTACAAACAAAACTCTCCTGTGAATTCTGTAAAAATTACAATGTCATTGATTGCAAGTTCCAGTTTTTGTGCCGATCCTTCTATTAGATCACTTACAGCTTATAAAGCAGTGTTATCTGTAAAAGTTGTTACGGTTTGGCAGATATTGTGAACTGAAATATGGATCGTATAAAAAATATATAACAATGGTTCAAGGATGCTCATTTAACGTATACATACATGTGGTTGGCTGCATAGATGTGGTGCTAGTAACGACCTAAACTTTACCAAAGGTCTATGTAACGTTTAAAAAAATCGCGAAATATTTTTTTTCTCGAAAGCTTCTTCAGTAGCAAGTAACAACTCTATAAACATGAAGTAATCTAGAATAGTTGCTCATTTTGATTTTCTGCAGGATTGATGGTTACGGAGGTCATAACTAGTGTGTTGGTGCAAGAGTTGAATTATTGTTTTACGTGTAAATAAGAGAGTTTAGCAAGAGACTTGCTTAACTTACAGGTCATGAGAATTGCGGCTGTATAATATTAAATTAAATAGGTCTTATATGTAGACTAAAACTTTAATGGATGTAATTACAAAGTAAACTTTGTTGATTTCACTCAGACCGTTGGACAGATAACTTATTTTACCCAGATGTAGAATATCTTTAAGCAGCATCGGACACATTTCAACTTAAGGCAAATTGTGCATTTGATTATTGGTGCTGAAGTACAAAAAACAAGACTCAATTTGAGCTATTTTTACATTTGAGTAAATAGTATTTGTTTGTCTACAAACTATTATTTGTTCGGATTGAACTTGTTTTTAATTTGTTTTGCGTTGTGTATCCTACTGCATACTAATGGGTTTTTGCTTATATTAGGTTGGATACTTTATGCGTCATCTACGTCGACTAGGTCCATGATAAATGACTATCGCTGGAGTTTGCTATTAATACTGGCTATATTTTTACCATCAGAAATCAATAAAAAGCATGGAGTCAAGAAAAACTAAACAGCTGGTTTTTATACCCATTGAATTCGAAATTTGTCTGCCAGTGAAATTTGGAAATTATAGCAATATTTTTTCATAATATTTATATTGTGCTCTCTGCTACTTGTTTTCACTGGTAAAAGTCTGGAAACACACCTATAAATATAACCGTATCCTTGTACAATCAAGTAAGCGCACAATTTTTATTAATGTAAACATAAAATAAATTGTATTACTATTTACATGTATTATCAATATTTATTTTTTTTGTAATTACATTATTATATATTTTTTAGATTAAAAAATAAAAACTGCAAAAATTACTGTTGTTATTAAATAATTTTTTGTTTATGATACGAATTGTATTTCGTATAGAAAAATGAATAATAGTGAAGAAAATCCAAATGAAAAAATTATATTTTTTACCAGGTTGGGGCGATCATGCTGCTGTTGTTTATAATAATAAACTAAGACCACTGATGATCACCCCCCTAACTTTCATCCTATTTCCCTATTCATGTAATCGTCTTGTGTTTCCTTTCATGTTTATCTGCCTACAGGTCCCGGCGGGTTACAACAACAACAGCAACCACTGATGATGGGTATTTGGCAATACTCGAAACAGCTGTATGGTCAGCCAATAATTCAATTAATTAAAATGATATAAAAAAATAACTAAAAATCTTGTTGTTGTAGTTCACTATTGTTTGAAAAACCTCTTTATAATAAACTAATTAAATAAACAATTTACAATATAGTTGTAATAAGCATATTATTTAGGTCGATATTAAACGAAATTATATATATGATTTTAAAGCGCAAAGCTTTAAATAATGCCACTCAAGACTATTTCGTATTATCCATACTAAAGAATTACCTAATAAACAATATACCAGTAATCGTTGACTTAATTTCGGAAGGTCGCATGCGTTATACCATGATAAGGAGTATTTAGTTTGACTTTTATGGTAATCCATATATATATTATAATATCATTTTAAAGAGATAATATGTATTGACAAAACTTTAGTATAATTATAATTTTATTCTAAATTATAACCCCATAATCAGGGAATATATTTATTACTAAATTACTGTAATCATAAAATAAACTAATACATATGAGGAGTAAAATCTGGGTTCAATATAGTTCTTGTGACTTTATATGATAATTTAAAATGTAATGAGTCGATCTTCAACCGTTTTTTAGCACTACAATGATTTCCCAAATAACAACATTAATCACAAACAGAAATAACAAAAATCAATGCTCGAATTAGATTAAGTTAGAGCCGTATAATTGTTCAGATATTGGAGGACTTAATTTTGTAAAATAATTTATGATGTTAATAAGAATTAAAATGCAGAAACAATTTATGTTTTAACGATTTAATGCTAAAAATAATATTTTAACTCATAATATATAGTTTTGATATATGCAGAGCCTTCAAAATAAAGACGAGAAATATTTATAGTGACACTTCAAATAAAATAATTTCTTTTATAAATTAACAATCAAATGAACAATGTTAATTGAGAAGAAACAGTAAAATATTGTTATTCCAAATATTTTTTTTACAAATCTTATTCACTAGTACCCATAAAATTAATTTGGACACAAAATAATTAATTCCAAAAATGTATGAATAAAAATCAAATCATTTTTACAAAACCAAACTTATAGTAGTAATAAGCTTTCATTTTATTTAATCATGTTGATTAAAATCTTAATAAACACAGACATTTGAAAAGCAAAAACTGAAATGCACTTTAAGTGCTGAAAAAATGTCCAGACAATACTTTAGTCCTTTGCGGGCACTTCTATTACGCGTGGCTTGTCAATAATCCGTGCCGTTTTATTACCTTTCTCTACAATTCCAATGATCCACGCCTGATATCCTTCCTGTTTTTCAATGTCTTTACAGTATGCAGCAGCTTGTTCCCGAGGTAAGCATATAAGTAAACCACCAGAAGTTTCGGCAGAATGTCCTTGCAGTAACTGAAACATGTTTCCACAAGCTTTAGCAACCGCTGCCATTTTAGCTATTACTGGCAAATTATGGATTACAAATGACACGTCTTTTTTTTGGTGTGAAGCAAGAGTTTGTGCATGACCTAACAAGCCAAATCCTGTTATATCAGTAGAACCATGTGCATTATACTTGTGCATAAGACGAGCTGCGGTACGATTAAGGCGCGCCATTGAGTTCATAGCACGATGATATGCCTTTCGTACGTCCTCCTCGGAAACAACGAGCTTGATACGATTCCATCTTTCTGGCTGATCTAACCATTGATGCGCATTCACCGCCACTTGAGTACCTAATGGCTTCGTCAAAACTAATACATCGCCTACAACTGCGTTATCAGGCACTATATATTCATTTGGTTGACATATGGTGGAAGCAACACCTCCAATCGTACACCATGGATTTACAACACTTTGACCGCCTGTTACAGTTGTGCCTGCGTCTAAAGCTGAATCTTTAAATCCTCGCATTATTAATGGCACAACGACATCGCGTTCTTTTTCTGTCATTTTAGTACTTACAGCTAGCAGCATAAGCATATTGTCACAATCAGTTACCCCCATAGCGTATAGGTCACTTAAAACATTCGCACAAGCTATTTTACCCATCATATAGGGGTCATCAACGATCGGATAAAAAAAATCAGTTGTTTGCACTAAGCATAACCCACCATGGCGTAAAGGTATCACTGAGCAGTCCAATCCGATACCAATTCGAGGTATAGCTATGTTCATAAACTGTGCTTCCTGTTCAGCAACAGAGTAATCTTGTTGTAGTGATGCAACAAGCTTACCAAGAACTTCTTGTGGAACTTTGCAGCCGCGTCCTTTTAGATCTGCAAATCGTGTTAACCGAAAAGATGGTTCTAAATCGTGAGCTGTAGGATCAAACGGACGACGCAATTCCGCGGAACTGCCGCCTTGTAACTCCAGATGAGCCGCATTTAACGAATCCACTTGGTAACTCATTATTTTGATGCTTTAAAATAAAAAGATTGCACTGTCTTTTGAGCAATTCACTGGTTTATTTGACTGAATATTAAAAAACTCGCGTTCTCCCTAAAAACGCACACCTTTATCAATCGCTGTTAATACTATGAAAAATTCTAACCAAAAACTTACTTGTGTGTGTAAATAGCTCTGCTATTGGTTGATATAAGTAAAGCGGCATAAATCGGGAGAAGTCAGTATTTCTCCCGCCATTTACACAAGTATTGGAAGACATACGGGGGACGTTCAGTTAGGTACAAACATAAATGCATTAAAATTCTAATTTTAACAATTGAATTTATACAGAGCCTTAAAAGATGCAATATCTGTTAAGGTATTATATACAGTAAAGTGTTTTCTATTCATAAGCAGTTTAAATATTTCATTTTTAACCAGTAATATTAGGAGCATTTCTTTAACGTAAATGCACCAATAATACTTCTTTTGGTGCTCGAGAATAAATTAACATCACTGCCTAAACCAGTAAACATATGACAAGTAAAAAAAATGGAAATAAATTTGGGGTTGAATTTTATAAAAAAATTTTTTTTTGTAATAATACATATATATAATGAATAACCCAAAAAAGTTATTTGTGAGCACTTTACATTGTGTTTGAATTTATATAAAAGTATACAATTTTTTACGCTTTTTTAGCCTTTAGGCTTATTCATACGAGAACGTGAATAAATTCGTGTATATAATTTTCAAACTTCTAATACTACGTTTCTACTATGTACTTAATAAGCCACATAGTAACATTGAGTTTTTTGCGTTTACATTATCATGAGTTACTTAAGGAATGCTGAAAGAGCTTTTATGTGTCAAAAAGTTTTTAGTTTTAAAGTTTTTCTGTGTTTACATTTCAATTGTAAACAGATGATATAAAACATTGTATTGTTAGAAGAAAATAAATCAATATGGGAGAAAATGCAAAAAATGTGAATAATTTAATATATAATATTTGTAATGTTGTTCATAATATAAAAGCGGCTGTTGCTGCATATATATATATAGACAATAATTTATAAAGAAGTACAAATAATCCATAAACAACAATTAACATTGCTTTCTTCAATGATTACTAGAAAAAAAAGGAAATGCTGGACTTTGGTAAGTACGGACAGTAAATTATTAAATAAAGGATACAATTTAAATGAGTTGCTATTTTAGAAAAGAATGAAGAAGTTTTAGGATGAAGATTGCCAAAAAAATGGTCCTGAGTTCTTTAAAGAAAATTTTTGCATGAGCGTTGAATTTTTCAATGAGCTTTGGCATCTTTTGAAAAATTTGGAGAAGCAAGGCACCAGCTTTAGATGTGCAATTTGTTTAAGAAAAAGAATTGCAATTGCACTTTACTGTCTTGGCTCATCAGCTGAATTCAGAACCATTGCAAATCTGTTTGGCGTTGGAAAGGCCAGGGTTTGTAAGTGTTTGAAAGAATTTTGTGCGGAAGTGTGGAAAACTCTTTTGCCTTTATCTATGAATGCTTTGCCATTAAGCAGCGAAAAGGTTAAAGAGTGTATTAACGGATTTTCTTCTCAATTTACTATTAGTGATACATATTAATTATAGTCAATATTTAAGATGGGTCTCACATTGAAGTAAAACCACAGTCCAAAAATGCTATTGACTACTACAACTACAAAGGGTGGTATTCGACCGTTCTGTTTGCTTTGGTCGATTTTAGGCAAGTATTATATTAATTTCATGTATAAAATAAACAAAATTAAAACATGTAAACATTTATACATCTTTACAGATACCGTTCCCTTTACATCATTAATGACTCCTATATTTATGAAAACTCTTCACTGAAGCGTCAGTTGGATAATTGTAGTGCGCTGGAAGAGAACAGTAATGGTGTGATCAAAGGTGTGAAAGTACCAGTTGTAATCCTTGGAGATTCGGCGTTTAGGTTTACTACAAAAGTAATGAAACCATACCCTTACAATGAAAATGCTTGCATGGCTGAAAAAAGTTTCAACTACCAATTAGCTAAATGTGGTTGAAAATGCTTTTGGTCACCTTAAAGCAAGGTTTCGCAGAGTAGGTAAGGGTAAGGTAAGATAACAAGATAGAAAACGCAACCAGTATCATACAAATGTGTTGTGTTCTGCATAACTTTCTAAATGAAATAAATGATAAAGACTGGATGCACGCTCTAAGAAGACAACAGCAGACTTCTCAACGACAACAACCAACAGAAGTTTCAACACTAAAAGACCTCGACCCAAACGGCGAAGAAATAAGACGATGTTTGGTTCAAATTTTCAGAAAGTTCTATTTTAATCAATAATCAGACTAATAATTTATAAAAAAAACAAAAGTTATAAAAAAAATATCTATGAATATAAAGATATGATATATAAAAACTAACAACAGCAATAAAGATATAAAAAAATTAACTATGAATATAAAGATATGATATATAAAAACTAACAACAGCAATAAAGATATAAAAAAAATAAGAAAAAAGGTCAGTCATTTGAATCCTCATCCGATACGACGCTTTCGTACGGATATCTTTTCTCCATCGACGCCGCCATTCTAGCCAAAATACTATTGCCGGTTTCCAGAGCTTTAACTATATCGGTAATATTTTTATTAGCAGTATTAAATGAATCTACAAGCTTTTCTTGCAGATTGATTAGTTTATCTAATCTTTCATCATCCTTTTTTTTTTTTCTTTTAGGCGTTTCCTGCGTATTACCTTCAGAGATGTCAGAACTGGAGCACCATGGTGAGGACGCTGGCAATATCGGCGACGATGCACAAGATGAAGTGGATGGTGCTGGTTCCTGGTCTAATCAAAAATGCGTTACTTTATTTTATGAATTCAAAAAATATATATATATAAACGTACCTCCAAAACTATTTGGAATTAGCCCAGTAATGTTGTGGAGTGGTAAATTTCCCAAAATCTTACTAATTCCTTCAGAAAACCTCCAAGTTGATAGGGACCCTTCGGACACTCCAACACTTTGCTGCTCCTTTCTGTTTTAACATAAAAGATGTAACTTAGCTTAATATTTAATGACATATATTATACATTATTAAAAATATATTTAACGAAATGAACTATTTAATAAAACATCTAATATTACTTCCGCGTAAACGATTACGTGGTTTTATTTTAATTACAAATAATTAATGATATAAAAAACAGAAATTTTACTTATTAACTTAACACTCACCTAAAGCGCTGGGTGAAGTTATGCACCTTTCTCTGCACTTCTACAGCGGTTACCGTGTAACCCATTTTACATAATTCCGTCGCCATATCTTTAAATATATGGCTATTTCGCCGGCGGCTCCGCAATTGAGATATATTCTCTTCCCACAGTTCAATCAGCAAGTTTTCGCCGCTATCAGTCCAGGCATTCCGGGATCTTTTATTTGTCTTTACCTAAAATTAATTATAATTTATTTTTTAATTACATACCATTTATAACTGCACAATACTAACTTGTGAATTCTCAGCCATTTTGATATTATTCCTGATATTAATCTAAAATAAATATTTTTTATTAATTAATATATGAAATTTTATAATTATATCAAATACATATTTGGTGAATAAACTTATTTTTATATATTTTATTTATAAAAGAAAAATGTTTAATAAAATTCTTACTTGTTGTTTGTTTTGAATTTTGAATGTTTGTTTATGTTTACATTTTGCTTCATATGTCAAATATGTCAAATTTCGATCATTTCCAATGTTGCATTCGTCATATTTGGTATAATTTTGGTCGAATTTTGTTTACTATATTCTATAGTAAATGAAAAAGCACGGAAGCTCTTTGTATGGCTAATGCAATTTACTCAGTAAATGAAGCTTACTAAGTACGTAGTGGAAACGTACTATAACATCACTAGTTAATGCTAAACAGTATATAACACTGTTTTAGTTTTCTTGCAATTGTCCTATAACTGTTTGCTTTATTTTAAAGATTGTGTTTTGTATTTATTCACGTATTGCATTTTTTAATGAAACAAAAATTAAAAAATTCTTAACAAATAATTAACTTCTTTACAATTACTAACCTGTCAGCCGTTTTCAGATATTTCAAAAAAATCTTTAACTTTTAAATAGTTTTTTTCGTCGTAAAGATACACCACTATCGACAAGAAAAAATTAACGTTAATAATCAGTTTTTTAAAATGCTTATATTTACCCATTAACACTCGCAACAGTTGTAAATAATAAACAGCTGACTGGAGTTTTTCATTTTCCACCAAAAAATCATTCACAGTAGATTAGTTTTAAGATTTGGCGACTGCTTTATTCGTGAAGCGCTTTCAGGAAAGTGCTCATTGCGCTTATTGCACGTGTTCTTTTGGAGAATTCATGTCAAACGAAACACCTATTATACACTATTTTCAAAATTACACAGCTGTGCATATTCTACCTATATTCAAAATGCATGTAAAAAATATATAAGCAATCAATTTGTAATAAATGTATTGTTAGGTATTTTTAAACTGAATTGAAATATTTGCTTTAGGATAATATATAAACAAAATTTTTTGAGTTTTTTTTACTTGTCATATGTTTACTGGTTTAGGCAGTGATGCTAAGTTTTCCTCAAGCACCAAAAGTTGTTCTATTGGTGCATTCATATCAAAAGAATACATCTATATTTGTTGAAATTTCAAACTTGTATTTCTTCCTTCGAACAAGAAGGATTCATATTTCAAACTAAATTCAAAAATTATTTAATTAAACTTGAAATAATTCATAACATATTTAAAAAGAATTATGTTTAAATCGTTTCTATATATGCATTAAAATTATTTAAAATAGAAAACTGATTTCGTGCCCAAAAAGTGAATTTTCTAAAACATGAAATTTCAGGTGGCTACTCTAAAAAAACACCTTTGAAAAAACAATAGATGCAATAGTAAAATGATTAAGATTTGTTGACTAATATGTTCAGACAGCGAAGCTGGATAAATTATAGTTATTTATATTACAACTATTACTTTAGATATATGTGAAGCTATCAAAACTTCAACAAAAGTAACTAGTCATAACTTTTAGAGTATATAAAACAAAAGACTTAAAACACAAACTGATGACGTGATAGAAGTTAAGTAAAAATTTATGAAATTATAAAATTTTAGTACAATTGGAACTTGTATACAAAATGGGTTATTATTATTATTATATGCTGATTACGAATTTAATATTAATCGTTTATGGCGAAACCGTTCATGAAGGATTCAGATATAATTGTCCACTAAAGTAAGTATTTTTTGTGCTTTTATGTGAAAGTATTTTCAATTTTGTCAATGGACAAAAGCTTAAGTTTGTCTAAAAGTTAATTGTTTATGTCAAGACTTAAATTTAAACATTTATTTATTTAATTTGCTATTTATGAGCGAAGTTTTACATTTTCTAAATACTTGGTCCAAATTTGATACTGTCTATACATCCATTCGTAGTTTAGAGTAAACAAAAACAAATTAATGTCATTCTGCCTGATTAATAAACCACCTTGTTTTTATATGTTCCGAAATTTAGTTTTTATCAAATCTAATATTTACCAATTCGTTTCAGAGCCAAACTGATTTATCCGTGCAACTGCTTTAAGAGTTCAAATGAGGGACTTTTTGTTAATTGTAAATATGTGAATCTAGCCACACTTTCTGTTGCCATGCATAATTTAGCGTCGCTAGAAGTTCCAATTGAAAGCCTAACGATATCCGAAGGACATTTTGGTAATTAAGTGATGTATAGATCATTTGAATAAACTACTACTTATTATCTTTTTGAAGAACGGCTGTATGGACCAATGTTTTCCAAAATAAAAGCAAGGACGTTACTTATTGAAAGTTCGCCTATTGTCGCGATAGAAGATTTTTTTTTTCATGGAATAAACAATACCCTGGAAGAACTATATATAAATAAATCAAACTTAACATCTATTTCACCGCAATCATTTGGTGTAAGACTTTGAATTTTGTAAGCAAATAAACTTGTTCATATCTCAATATATAGAATTTAGGGAAGTTAACTCAATTAATAATTGATGGACATTTTTTAGAAGACATTAGTAAAAACATATTTATTAATCAAGACATCTCAAGTAAATTAGAAGTGCTGCGAATAATTAATGGACCATTAAAGAATATTCCTATTGAAGCTTTTCAGGTAAATTATTTTTTATACATTTCACCCATATTGCTTTGACTATATACTATATTAATTATTTTTTCTAATTTACAAGTCTTTACACAAACTAAAGACTTTAGATTTACATGGAAATGAATTAGAAAACTTTAAGCGAAACCAATTTAAGAATTTACGAACTGTCGAGATTTTGGATGTAAGTTTTAATAACTTGAGAAGTATTCAAGCAGAACATATATCGGATATGACCAAATTGGGTTGGTTTAACGTGTCTCATAATAATTTGTCAGAACTTAAGAGGTAATTTATTCATTAAATTAATCACTTTAAAGCTTAAGTCAAAAGTATTACTTAATTATTTTTCAGAGGCACGTTTGCACGCAATTCTGTACTGAAAGTGTTAAATCTATCGCATAACGCCATAAAGCAGTTGGATGCTAATAGTTTTAGAGGAATGCGTTTTTTAAGGTTAGCTTATCTTATAGTTTATACATTTGATTACAAGTTTGAATAACTAGCTTATTGACTTTCATTTTAAAGGCGCTTATATTTAAACGACAACAAAATAGTTGAAATCGGAAGAGGAATTTTTGGTTCAGTGACAAGAATTGGCACAATTGATTTAGCTAGAAATGCTTTAAGGAAAATAGAATTTCAAATGTTTACGCAATTGAATTATGTTGAAGTATGTTAACACACATATTGGATTGGACAAAAAGTTTTCAAGATTCTTTCTTTATCAAACTAGAAACAGTTTGACTGAAATGATTGAAAAAAAAGTATTTTTTAATATATATATCAAAAACACCATATATCCTGTATGGTGTTGGCAGAGCGATAGTAACTTATAGTAGATGATTTCATCAGACATAATAGATTCACATTTCTCGTCATCAATTTCAGCGTCGCTATACTGTTTTCGAAAATTATAGTATATAATCCAAATTGTATCACTTGTCGTCTACCGTTTTAATAATGAATCGAGTGATTCTTATATTAAAATACGATTTATTCAATTTTTTTTATTTAATGTATGAGGGACCAAAATATTGTCTCATTTGTAACTTGATTTAAATAAACAGTATTTCATGGCTGTTTACTTCCTCCTTGTAATTATCAAACTTCCGCAAAATATTTTTGAATTTTAAATTTTTTAATTATTATACATTTATTAAAAAAATTTAAAATAGAGATTATACTCTGCCCTATTTATACCATTTAGTATAATTTTATTTCAAGAAATTGAAAAAATACTAGTTTTCAACATATTAAGCCCTTAAAAAGGTAAAAAGAATTTATGGACCTTTTGAAAAAAATCTTAAAATATTATAATTATAAATAAATAAATAACACTTGAGTTTCCATTGAGCAATGGATTTGCTTCAAATATTCCAAACTTTCTTATTCTCTTGATCAAAAGTGAAAAAATCGTTATATACTAATACTTCGTCATTATGATGAGAGTATAAGAACTGTCTTGGTTAATGTAATCAACAAATGTGGTATATGTGAAGTACAATAAAAAGTTAAATGATCTTCTTGAAGATATAGCGTTTTGAAATTGATTCTTGCAAAACAAAGAAAAACTCCGAATACTTTTTGATCAATCCAATTGAAAAATAATGTTCATTATTTACACGTTTACTTGTTTATTATTTCAGGAATTGAATTTGGCGGAAAATAATATTACTATTGTTGAGAAAAATTCATTTAAGGATATTTATCAGGCTGTAATTAATATATCTCATAACTCTTTAGAATTGATAGAACCACACGCCTTCGAGAATTGCATAAACATCACTGTTTTGGATCTTTCCCATAACCGAATTTTTAATTTTTCGAAAAATGCCTTTGATGCTGCAACATTTGCAACAGAACTACAACTAAGCTATAATTCAATAACAAATTTGGCTGAGGTATTATATATTGGTTAGCACTTTATTATTATGGATATTTTAAGAATTAATGTCTGTATGCAGGTACCGATACAAAATATGACCGGTATAAAGATTTTAAACGTTACCAACAACAACATTACACAAATTCCAAAGAATACTTTCTCTAAGCTATATGAGCTGCATACAATAGATGTTTCACATAATAATATAAAAGTAATTGCCAACGGCGTTTTTCAAACTCTGTTCTCTTTGCGTTACGTTAATTTAAGCTATAACAGTTTGGAAAATATTAAATCATCTGTTTTTGGTACACTTCCTACGTTAATTCATTTGGATCTTAGTCATAATAATATATCAGATATTGCAAGAAGCGCCTTGGCAAAATTAACTAGTTTGCGTACTTTATATTTGTTTAATAATAAAATAGAAAAATTGTTTCAAATTCCTATATCGCTTAATGAGTTACGCATCAGCGAAAACAATATACAAGCTCTGCCGTCCAATACCTGGCCTGTAATGAACTCGTTGATTTATCTAGACATGAACAACAACAAAGTTGGCGATTCCTTACAATCCGGTAGTTTTTTGGGGTTACTAGTGTTACAAACGCTTTTGCTCAATAACAATGGCATTACAAAACCTCCAGCTGAAAGTATAGCAGGCCTATCGACCCTGCAATATCTACGTTTACAGGTTTGTGTAAATAAGGTAAATTTATTCTAATATCAAATACGGTCAAGTCCATTTTATTTAGGAAAACAATATTACTGAACTACAGAAAAGTGCTTTTGGTAGACTTCCAGTCCTGTTCGAATTAAATTTGTATAAAAATGGCATAAAGGATATAAAGTAAGTAATAAGTTTTATATTCTCGTATTTCACATTAAAATTAAATGTTTCATAAATAAAAATTATAACCGTTGGAGCATTATTTTGATTCTTTTGTTTCAATGTATATAAATTAGTTACAATGTTTCTATACAATATTATATGAATTACAATTAATCGTAATAGGGATATCTAATTTTTATATCGATTTACATTTAAACTTAATTTTGTAAGAAAAAGCCGAATGCGCAAAAAAAGCAAAATTACTAACTAAATCATGATAACTCACCATATATTGGATTCACACACGAAAGTTTTGATTGTAATTTTAAAATTATATTGTGATTCTCGTATGAATCCAGTATGATGTGAGTTGCGATGGATGAGAGCGTATACCAGAGAAGATCTTATAAATAACGACAATTTATTTTTTATAATAAATTCTATTCTATCGTGAACACGTAAACTTAAAAAACAAGTTAACTGCAGACTCACCAATCACCAATTTTTCGGTGTGAGAGGTACTTAACTGTCTTAACTCTTAACCTTGCTAAAAAAAATTGAAGTAATTTTTTTTTATCAAGATTTTGGCTAGAGATTTAAATTTTTTCTTTCACATTGCTTAAACATCACGAAGTAATAATTTAAAGATTTTCGAATATCTTCGAACAAATTAATGGCCTTTTCGATTGGAACATCTGAGATAATTTTTATAATCGAGATTCACTTTTAGTGCAGTTTTCATTTTCGATTGGGGTGAATCTGTATAACGCTCAAGATAAACTTATAATACTAGATATTTTGACAGAGTAGCAATATTACTCTGAAATTAACAGCTGTTTTGTATGATTTGACAGTGTGTGTGAATTGTTTTCACCTCTGCACAATTTGTTTGTTTATATTTGGCGACAGTTTTGAAAAAATTGATAACATCAAAATAATAGCATATTTGACTGTAAATGCATTGTTATCTGACGATAAAACTGCAGATGAATATATTTGATACAATTAAATTCAATGGTAAGTAACTAGTCAAAAGCTTAGTAACATAACTCAAAAATTTTAGATTACTCTAAAAACGCCATAAATATTTGCTGTCAATTTTAGAGACTTTTCAAAAAAATTACTGGTGTAATTACTGGCAAATAATTTTTCTGATCAGAGTATTGATAAACGGCTTAAGATCACCAAAGGCTTCTATTCTTATTAAAAGTCGTATTAAAAGGTTTTTAGAACAACAAAAATTCATTTTTATATTATTTTAATTAATGGAATTCTTGGCTGACCATACAGCTGTTTCGAGTATTGCCAAATACCATCATCAGTGGTCTTGGAAATAATTCTTGTGTTTAATTATTCGTAAAAAATTTTTTGAGACTGCAAGTACCAGGAATCGAACCAGAAAAAGTCTTGTAGTAATACGAATAAATCCATAACCTTCTAAGTTTAGAGATACTTGATAATCATTAAAATAATTAAAACCTATAAAGTATTTATATGCATATACATATATCCTTACATATCATTACATTATGATATATATATCCTTACATTATATAATATATGTTTACGTGATGAAGCAAACTATGTATAATTAAAATTTAGCTCTTTTAATGGTTTTTAGGTCCATTGTCAATAGATTATAAGACTTATTTATATTTCTTGTAAATAATCTAAGTAAATAAATTCAGAATATACAAATGATTTATTGGCCTATACATATTTCAATTGCTAGCACGGGTGTTACGAAAGTAGTCTGGATATGTGATTAGATACGCGTAAGAGGCCTTTGACTTGTTTTGTGAATTTCATAAACATTTTATGTATATATTTTATAAGTAAATAATGTATTAATAAAAAAATATACTCATATATTTATTAAAAGTTGTGAACACTCATATGTAACATAAATTGTATATATGTATAAATCAAAAATAATTAATTCAAACCCAAACAATTTCTATACTCTCTTCAAAAAAAAAAAAAAATAAAAGTGGTATTTTAAGTATTTTATAAAAAGAAACTTGTATATGATATGTAATTGATTGTATGTATACATAAATCCAAATGCAAATGAATACATTTAAAAATAATTCTAGAAATAACTGTCTTGTCATAATATTTTTTTCATATACATTTATTTTTGTTTAGCAAACATGCCTTTGAAGGTCTTCTGCAACTTCTTACTCTAAATTTATCCCATAATTCAATCATAAATATTCCAAATGATGCATTTGTAGGTCTTCCATCGTTGCGAAGATTAGATTTATCTCACAATTACCTTACGAAACTGGACAATAAAACAAATGGAGTTCTGGATGATCTTCTCAGCTTAGAATATGTAAGATTCCTATTTTTAATAACGTTACGACGAAGTCTATTTAATAATTTTTTAGTTGAACCTAAGCAACAATAAAATTAGCTTTGTAACAAAGAAGACGTTTCCGTCAAATATTTACATTCCATATAATTTGAAATATTTGGACTTAAGTTACAATCAAATGCCTGTTTTAACTTATGACATTACATTTGGTACGAAGAAATTATTGGAGTTTAATATTTCACATAATCATATCAATGAACTACGAAAAGGTAAGATAGTATCAAATAAGCATTTGAAGATATTTAAAAGAATATATTAATGAAAATAATATTAAATAAAATAACATTGTTATTCATTTCCAAAGGCGTTTTAGCTAACTTTACTGAGTTGCAATCCATTGATCTTTCTTATAATAAGTTAACTAACCTTATGTCGGAACCAAACATTTTTAATATTCCAAGAAATTTATCAAAAATATACTTACAAAATAATGAGATATATCGATTGCCATTCGAAAAGTTTATAAAGGAACCAAGGATGGAGGAAATTAATTTAAAAAGTAATCAGTTAACGGAGTTTCCTTCAACTTTAGTTAGATTGTTAAAAAATAATACGCGCGTATTATTCGATGACAATCCGCTTGACTGTACCTGTGCAGCAAGGCCACTACTTCACTTCTATTTACAAAATACTTCATGGAGTGAAGATCTGAGCAATATATTTTGCGAAGCACCGGTCTCTCTAAAAACCCAACAATTAATAAGTATTGCTGATAAACACTTAATTTGTTCTCCGAAAATAAGAGAAACGTATAACGGCACTGATTACGATGAACTTATGGATGTAAACTTCCGCGATATTGAAATGTAAGTAATTGATTATTTATTACAAAACGATATTTTTGATTTATTACCAATATATTCATATATAATTTATAATTCATTTATTAGGTAATATTAATCGAAACATATTACAAAATTTAAGATGTTTTCTGTTATTATGCATTGTTCAAAGAAAATCAAATTCTGGTTGTATGTTGTCTTAGATTGTCACACCAAGGGAGTGTGACGGTGTTAAGAATATGTTAAGATATCTAAAGCTGTTAACACTCTTTTAGCAGTTTGTTGAGTCTGTCGAAATATCATCATCCCTTTATTTTCACTTTCATGCCAAATTTATATATTCTTAAACAGTTCAATCAACGAGCATTCGTTTAGTATAGGTTTGTTAGATAGTCTCTTTGATCTATGCAATTAAAGTAAAATTTATAGATTTGGTCAATTTTTTTAAATGGTTTAATATAAATTAAAATATTATGGTCGGAAATTGATGTCTTTAGAGTCTATTTTAATTACCGGAAGCGTTAATGTTTGCTTATTTTGTACATCTACCTCGGCTTATATATAATAATATGCATACATAATTAAAATGATAATGATGAACAGATATCAAGATACCAATGCAGATTTTGGGAAGACAGTCAAGGCAACTTATAGCAAAAACTGTACACAAACAAACAGTTTTATAGATTTAAGGTAGTTAACGAGAATTGATGAATAGGGCTTGATGGAAATATTCTGAAAATAAAAAACCATAAGCGGAAATTTGATATACCTTATGCTCAAAAAGTACTCGGATTTTGTAAATAAAACACACAAATTTAAATTTTATTCCAAATTTATTTTATCTCGTTCAAAATATGCTCTTTCTGAAGCGATACATACATATATCCCAACACTTAACCCAATCTTCCATACATTATTCATAGGCCCGTGAAGGTATGGCTTTTAGTTCCATCAGTGAATTCTCTTTTACCGATTCAATCGATTCACAACGCTTACCACGAAGGGGAAATTTGAGTTTCGGGAACAGGAAAAAGTCGCACGGATCCAGATTTGGCGACTATGGTGCTTGAGCGATGACAGTGGTGCTGTGTTTGGTCAAAAAATCGCGTACAACGTGAATTTTCCATAGTAAAAATCGCTAAATGCATTTGAGGTAGTCTCACATTAACAGCTGCTGTAAACAAACTAATTCACAGATGGCGCTCAAATTTGTACCATATGTCAGGAAAGGATACATAAAAGGTCTATTACTTAAGGAGTAGTTAACAAACAACAAAATCCGGATACTTTTTGAGCAGAAGATACACTTAAATATAAGTGGGACAAAATTCATGATGCATCTAAAATCACTAGTTTCATAAGTCAACGCTTCATTTTACGGGATTAATGGTGGTGCGCAAATTTAATTCTTCACAGAAACACCGTTGACGCGACATTAGAGATAAAATACAAGCGGAAAACAATTGTTACTATGAACTTAAGAAACTAATATGCCTTAATATTTTGTAAACAAAACAGAAACTAATAATATCTAAAACAGTATTAGAATTACATAAATTATTTGTTCACTTCTTAAGAATTTTTTCTATTTTATGCATAATAAAAAAAAAAGTTTTATGGGTTGCAAATTCATGTAGATCAGGGTATTTTAACAAGAAACGTACTACCGATCAGAAAAATATTCAATCTGTTTTGCAATCCGCGGTTCCAACATCTTTCAAAATAATAATATCGTTAAAAGAAAAATATAATATTTTACAATATTTTACAATATTTTATTTTATTTTATTGACTAGTGCCGCTAGCAGCTACCAGAGATTAAAAAACTCTGATATAGATGACCGAAATATGCTTTAAATTTGCTTACAGTTTTAAAAAATTCTGAATTGATTTATATTTTAATAAATACTTAAATAAATTTTTAAATTTTTTAACTACCGCATAAATTGCGCTTAAAGTTGGAACGCCACAGTCTTTTTACGCAACATTAATCCACGTTTACTGGAACTAGTTTAGCTATCAAAAGACTGATGGCAAATATTGAAGCAACAATAATCGCAAGAAAGTGATGTTCTGATGACACGCATTCCAAATATTTACCTGTGTTATAAACACATTCAATCGATGTCTTAAAGTCCGATTTATAAATTTATTTGATCATTAATTTTTTTTTACTTCATGCTTGGAAAGCTTTGATTGATTTCATAAGATGATATTTGGCACGCCGATTTTTAATTGTAATACATGCCGTGGTATCATTGATAAATCGAGTGACTCAAAAAAAAACATGAACGCTTTTAAAGCTTTCAGCATAGTATGGATCGACTTATAAATGACTGTCTTGCACAGGATGTTAAATTGAATAATATTGAAGTTGGCTGACGTCTTTGTTCTAGAAGGTAGGAATAGATCACAGATTTAACAATTGTGACTGTTAAATGTGATTTGAATTTTATAAACCAACTTTTCAACTGATTTTTCTTGCAATGTGTCAGATCAATCGGCACATAATATCTTTATTTGTCGCCATCAAGTAGAATGTTTCAGACAATTATTTTTTATCATCCACTGGCGTCGATCGATGAATTATAGGTATGTTTGCGTAAAAGCTGCTGTAAGCAATATTATTGCATTCCCAAATTGTCTGATATTTCCATCCACAGTAAAGAGTTCTTCCACCTGTTAATAACGTCGCATTTGTTCCAGAGGATACAAGAACAAGAACAAGAACAATAATAAAAATAAAAATATTGTCACGTGCCAATAGGAATACTATAACTTCTATGCTGAGTATTTGAGTTCAAATAAATAAATAAATATCTTAAAATGTAATTTTAGTTTCTTACAAAAATAAAAAAAAAAAAAAAAAATTCTCTAACTCGAAGTCTCCATAAGCCGATCATTTTATTTGCAAAATGGTACTTCGAGTTATGGAAGTTTGACTGTATTTTGTAAATTAAAAATTAAATTAATTTTATATTTCTATATTTTAAGCGACAATAATGGAATTTTAACAGTAAAATGGTTTGTTACCTCACCTGGAGATATTGCAGATTTTTTGCTTTATTTGCGTGATGACCAAAATGTGATTTTATACGAAGACAATTTGGAATACAACAAACGTATCGCAAAGGTTCCATTAAGCTTAGCTCTCATACAGAATTCAAATACAAATGTCGATATATGTATTGTATCAAAAGACAGCAATAACAAAGTAGGTCGTTGGTTTAATGGACAATGTCAAAGTGTATCAGAGCTGTTGGGAGTGCGTAAGCTTACATATAAAGTAGTGCCTTCCTGTAGTGTAAAACAAAAATTAAATTTAATATGTTATTTTCTTAGTTTGTTTTTTTATTTATATTGTTATAAATGATTTTTTGTAACTATTATAAGCAAATAAAATGTGTAAATAAAGACATGTTATCAATTTGTTAGTTGTACAAATTTAATAATAGGTGTATTCGTGCGGTGCGAAGTCCGGCAAAAACACAAGTCGCTTGCTTAAAGTCGCTTATTGTTTTGCGTACAAACAACAACAAAAAGCTCTCCATTTAAACGACTAGTTATGAAGTGGCCAAACATCTTAACGCCTGTAGAAAAAAAAATCACCTAAGCCATCTGTTGTGAACTTTCATTGGAATAGTCTACGAATACTCCAGTCATCTGCTAAAAGTGTGAACAAATTTACACCAAATTTATTGTTTAATAGTAATGTAAATATCTGAAATTAAAATAGATTCACTAATATTACAAAAAACTTTGAAAATTTTTACCAAATAAAGTAATTTATTGGAAACATATTTTAGTGTTTTATTATACATTCAATGCACAATCTTTTCGCGAACTTTCTTTGAAATTATTCACAAAACATCCGAGATAATGGTTCTTTTATTGTGAAAAGTAGGATAACAATCGATCAAAAATCTACAAGCAGTAATAGTATAACATATATTAATATATTATAATATATTAAATCAATAATAGTATACGTACCTTCATTAATTACCCAAATTTACTAAAATTAAATCATTTTTATTGATTTATTAAAAATTATTATATTTCTTAAAATAAATATTACTATTTTTTTTATAAATATTAAAACCACTACCAACGACTCTTCTTTAAAAGACGCTTCACAGAATCAAAACAAAACAGCATGAAGAGAAAACAAAAGAAACCTAAAAACGTATGTTAAGTACCTCATGCCAGATGAAATAAAAATACTTTAAACGGAGAAAAAACAAAATATCACAAGAACAGAGATGAACAAAACTGTTACACTACACAAAAACAGAATTTTTTCCCTTTATTCATTTCATTTTGGAGCATAAGCCCTCAATCCAATAACGATCTAGTATTCTATTTAGAAATACAAATTTTAATTGTGACCAGTTCAGTCCTGTGGAGTCAAGGTCTGATAACCCCGACTTTCTCCATAAGTCGGCTCTTGATACATTAATACATCCATTCAATGGAGCTTTTACGGAGTGTGTGCCCAATCCATCTCTGGCGTCTTCTCATTATACAGTATTTAATTTCTTTTTGGAGTTTGTCTCCAGAATACTTGTCAAGCACTCGTCACATACGACCCAAGAGTAGACATAGATTTTGTGGTGAAGTTTGTAGAAGTTTCTGGTGAAGTCATTAGGATTTTTCTCCTCTTTTTTATATCTTCCATTCCACAGAAATATGCAACTTATTTACTTAGCTGGCCATTACAGACGAGAGTCCTCCTTGGCCGAGTCGTAGCCTTACGCGCTTAACTATGTCAATCTCGCGATATAGCTCATACAGCTTACTGTTCCATCTAATTCGATATTCGCCGCCAATGCATCATGGACGACAGATCTTTCGATGAATTTTTATCTCGAGTGCTCTTAATGCCTTCTCATTACTGTTGGTAATTGTCCAAGCATCTTCACCATACAGCAGGATAGGCACGATAAGAGATTTGTAGAACGTGATTTTTGTTTGTCAAGAGAGGGCTTTCTCAATTGCTTACTTAGCCCGAAGTAACATATATTGGCAATAGTGATTCTTTGGTGAATCTTTTGGCTGACGTCATTTTTTATGTTTAAGCTGGTTCCTAAATAAACCAGGAACCAAAAACCTAAGTTTTTCACAACTTCGAACTTATAACTGTCAACAGTCAACAGATCCCAAGACGCTCAGAAGATTTATTTGTTGACAAAAAGTACATTGTTTTATCCTCATTTACCACAAGACCCATTTGTTTTGCTTGTTTTTTTAAGTTGGAAATTACGCACTGACGGCGCGGGTGTTTAGGCCAATAATCTCAATATCATCGACATACGCAAGCAGCATTACACTTTTGTAGAATATTGTGCCAGTATGGTTTAAATCTGCTGCTCGAATTATAGTTTCCAACACTAGGTTAAAGTATTCCATTCGTTGAGCATTCAACGATCGTGTGAAGTAACTGTAGCATGCATTTTAAAGCTCTTCGTCACCAGGTTTAAATAGCTCAGCGCATAAACCATCGGCACCTTAGCTATTTTAACTTCAGTATGATCGGGAGGCGGGACAATTTTTTTATCGTTAACGATTGCAAATTCGGGATCATCTTCGCTTTCAGTTACATTACTACTACCGCCTTTTAGAAGTAATCCCTTCAAATGCAAGTATGTTTTGGACATCTATCACCAGATTACCACTTTGATCTTTGCAGGAATTAACTCTGGGTTTATAACCATTGGTCAGGCTACCATTTTTCAGTAGAATTTTTGAGCCTTATTCCTCTCGCCCAGCTTCTCAAGCTCTTCGTACGCAAGTCTTTCTGCTGCTTTTTTTTCCACCTGAAAAGACGTTACTTTTCTCTTCTCTTTTGCCGGTATTGTTCTTTAGCAGCACGCGTCGAAACTGACCGCAGGGTGGCTTGATATGCTGCGCTTTTTTCTGCGGTAGTGTCACGACACTATTGGTCGTACCAGCTGTTTCTTTGTATACGGTGATAGCCAATCGCCTCATCTACATCCATTATTTACTTATAAAGTATTCATTATATTTTTTTGTGATAATTTGTACAGCAGACAAATTTCTTTTTTTTTTTTTTTAAATCTTTCGTTTATTATAAAACTGCCAAAATTTGGCACCTAGTATATATTTTTATATAATGGAAATTAAAATAATAATTCAAATCAATATTACATGTATACCATAAACTATTAAAAATAAGTAATAAAAACTTGTTTTAGTTAAATAGTATATGATAAATATAAGTTTTAGTAGAAGTAGATGAGTCAATTAATAGATTAGGATTGTACTATGGACATATTAAATAGTTACGAATTATTATATTGCTAGTTCTGATGGATATAAGTGTTTCAATCGTCTATTATATGTGGCTTCGACATTTGGTAGCTGCCTCATTGCATTTGGTAGCTGCCTCATTGGGAAAGTAATCTATCCGTGCGATTTTTACTATTTTTTCGGAGAACGTCTGCAACAAAGGGTATTTTTAAGTCACGATGAATGTCGTAGTTTGAGATGTACCAGTCCGCGTTAATGATAGTCCTAAGTATTTTTGATTGTAGTCTTTGCAGTATTTGTAGGTTAGATTTGCATGCTGTGCCCCATATTTCGGCTTCATATTTCCAAATTGGAGCGATTATCGTTTTATATATTAGTAGTTTGTTTTCCCCTGTTAGTTTTGATTTTGTTCAAAGCGACGCTTAGTTTCATTACTTTTAGCTTTGATATGGTCTTTCCAAGTTAATCTGCTATCTATAGTAATACCAAGGTAATTTGCCTTTGTGTGTGTGAAGACTTCATCATTGTTAATTTTTATACGTCATATTTATGTCATATTTTTTATTCGTGTAGATGACATGTACTGTTTTAGTTATATTTATTTGAACTCCCCATTTCTCGAAGCATTCCAGAGTTGCATTCAAAATTTCTGCAAGTTGTCTTGGATTTGTTAAAGTTTATATCAGCTGCAATTAGTGCTGTATCTTCTGTAAAAGTTTATATCAAATTTTGAGGATCAGAAGGTATCGGAATATCAGCAGTGTATAGCAGATAGAGTAATGGACCTAGTGCGCTTCCTTGAGACATACCAGCTTTCATTTGTTTAAATTCGGAGATTGAGTCTTTGTACTTTACATAAAAATATCTATTTTGTATGAGGTAAAAGTTTGAGACCCCCATTCCAAACACTGTCAAAAGCCTTTGCAACGTCTAGATATACCACCGAGGAAAATTGCTTTGTGTCAATATCACTTGTTATTTTATTTAAAACTCTGTGGACTTGTTGCATAGTTGAATATTTTTTTGAAAACAGAAGTGGTGACCAGGAATAAGTTTACCTTTGTGGAGAATCGGCTCTAGTCTTTTCAAAAGTATTTTTTCAAACAATTTTGACATAATTGGTAATAGACTAATTGGTCTGTATGAGCTTGTGAGAGTTCTGTCTTTATTTGGTTTGGGTATAGTTATTACTTCTGATACTTTCCATACTTTTGAAAAATACCTAAAGTGAAGAGCGCAATTAAACACATTTCTCAGATATACCTACAAGTGCTAGTCGAGGCAGCCAAGTCAGAATCTTTCCCGTAATACCATCATATCCCGGTGATTTTTTTTTCTGATAATTTGTGCAGCAGACAAATAATGCTATTTTTAAATTCATATTCAATCAACATATGATAAGCAATTCTTTTCTTTTTTTTGCTCATTTTCGCACTTTTCGTCATTAAAAAGTGCCATGGTTGCCAAAATTCAACAAAACAAATTTGAAACTTTTGTTGTTCCCAAAACAGCTGTCTCCCAATCAATTCAGAATAAGGGAGTTCTATTCTTGGAAATAGCGTGGAAATAGGGATACTTGTTCCCTGGGAGTATTCAGAATTGATATGATTTATTTACACCACCTTTGGCATCAATAACTGCCCGCAACCTAGCTGGAATTGATCCAATCAAGACGCGAATCAATTTCGAGCGAATATTCCCAATTTCAATTATGATAACACTACGTTTTGGATTTTTATCAATAGTTCTTTGATGTTATATGGAGACTCAAACATTTTTAATGACATTAAGATCAGGGCTCTGTGTTGACCATAGAAGAATAGCATGATTTAACTCTTTTAAAAATAGATTAAGTCTACATCCTTTATGACATGGTGCATTGTCATGTTGTAGACTCCAGTTATTGATTGGAAAGCGCCTATTTTCTGACTTAAAGGTATGGTGATTTAAAATACCAATATAACTGGACTGATTTAAGGTGAGATTTGTCGGTACTAAATCTTCAAAACCATAGTATGATAGACATCCGCAAAACATAACCGTGCCACCTTGAAATCTATTAAGTAGCTGCACTGCTTTATT